TTCGGCTTCGACAGAAACTCCTCGAAGTCCGAGTCATAGCTGTAGACCTCTTTAGGGCTATTCGGGGTTTACACTCTCACAACTGGGACAAGCCAGGCGAGGATCCATAGGTGCTAAAGTCGGAGTGAAACAAAGTTGACTACATGCCTTTCGGGGTTTAGGTCTTGGGGATTCAACGCTTACGTAGGGCTTTGGGCTTTGGGGGCTTAGGGTTTAGCCGTCTATAAAGACTAAACCCACTTCAAACACACCCCACCCTCAAATGCATATAAAGCCTCTAGTAACGCCTTCTGAAACCATAACTCTGATACAAAAGCTATACGCAAAAAAACCCTTATACCAATGAACACCCAAACCCCTCGCCCCTAAACCCTAAACCCCTTTTCGCAACAGGCCTTGTTGTCCAGCAGCCCGGTCTAAACCCCTAAACTCTAAACCTAAACACCTAAACCCGAAAAACACTCGTGTAAAGCCCTTGCGACATCCTGTATACAAGCGCCGATAAGCGCCTTCAGAAGCCCATATGACACCTTTAAACCCCATGTGACATCTCCCACAACAACTCTTTTAAAATGGTAGTTTAGGGTTTAGGGCTTAGGGTTTAGAAACCTTAAACCCCAACCCTGAACCCTAAACTTTAAACCCAAGGCCCTACGCCGGCCTCTGCGGGTTTGGAGGCCGCTTCGGGTTTGGAGGCCGCTTCTTCGGGTTTCGGCTTCGACAGAAACTCCTCGAAATCCGAGTCGTAGTTGTAGGCCTGTCTCGGGGTTTTTTCCCTCTCGCATTGCAGAGAACGATGCTCACTGGCGAGGTTGAGTACGAGAGATTCATAGTCCTGTTTTGGGGTTTCAGCACTCACAACTAATTAGTCAAGCAGGCGAGGATCCGAGTACTAGAACGACAAGCACATTGGCTACTGTCCAAGGTAGGTGAAGGGTTTAGGGCTTCGGCGCTCACACTCGGACGCTCCAGGCCAGGCATATGGTTCGAGGTCTGCAATGAAGCAGGGTGTAGATTTGGCCTGTTTTGGGGCATTGGGGGGGGGGGGAGGGTTCGGGATTAGAGGCCTCCCGATGGTTCTCGCCAGCTCCTCTGCGCATATCATTCGGGGCACGGACGTTCAGGGGGACCGGAGGTTAGGGTCTATCTATAGGGTTTAAAGTTTAGGCTTCAAGGATTCTTGCCTCAAGGACGAAGCCACGATTCACGGGTAAGGCTTTAAGGGTTGAAGGGATTCGGCCGTGGGCTTGAGGCTTTGTTGTTGCTAAGCAAATTTACTGACAGGATTGCGGATATCTGCTAGTTCTTACAGTTCTTGAGGTTCTTTACGGCGAAGGGTTAAGGGTTGGTACATATTCTGGCGACGTCTATCCTATCATAGGCCTTCTATTCGTGATGATTGGCAACGACTACAACGACCACGGCTTCTTGATGGTGTGATTGTCATGGTCATTTTCATTATTGTTAATGGTCTTCATACAGGTGAACCGACCGTCGAGTGGTGTTCTTATTGCGGTTATAGGACTAGCAGTAGCTCCGTCGATAGGACCGTCCGAGAAGAACCTCACCCCCAACCCCTAAACCCTAAACGCCTAAACGAGTGCCGCAAGTCACAAACTCAATGAAGTTGACGCCCTACACAATCCCGAACCATGTCAACTCCAAACTAACAGCCTTCAGAAAGCTTCACGAACCCACAAATCGGAAAACGAATGCCACTTATGGACCGTACTGCCGCCAGTAAACAGGGCTCTTGTGCAAGACTTATAGTTTAACTTACCAAAAATAAGGATATATAGCAACAACATGTTACAATATGGTTCCCTAAACCCTAAACCCTTATGGTTTCCAGTCATCAGGGCTGGAACCCAACCCCAAGCTCAAGGACATGGCAGCTGTGCCGGCTGCGAAGCTTCCGGTGCTGCCGCAGTCTTGCCGGCCTGCAACACAGGCGTTACTAACCCTAAAGCATAAGCCTCTAAACCTGAAGCCCTAAACCCTAAACCCCGAAAGCCTAAACCCCAAACCTGAAACCCTAAACTCCATGACGGTTTGGGCGGGGACTTGCTGGGTTCATGGGAAGTTGTTGCGGTGCAGTGATGGTTTGTTTTGGATTTTTTGTTTTGGGCTTTCTGGCTTACGCAAACCCGCCGCCTTCAGAGTTTGAACAGCTAGAAAAAAAACACAACACGTTGTGAGCCTCGGCCCTCGAAACGTCTTCATCAAAACTACGCTCCCGTGGAGAGAGAGACACGTTTTTTATGAGAGCCAC